GCACGTAGTACAGTGACCTCGATTTACGTTCTACTGGAAATAAGCGAGAGTTTCATCGGGCAAAAATAGCAGCATTTGCTTTCGAGGAAGAATGACGCGCTTGTAAATTTGTTTTTCTGAATTTAAAGAAGAGGATAAAACATTATTCAAACAAATATTGCGCAAACATCGAAAACTGTTTCGAATCGATATTTTTGCTTGATATATAAAGATATTTATAAAGATAATTTTAATCGATCTTATTGATAAGATATAATCACTGAGATGAGATGAAAATAATTTTAATAACAATAAAATTTACGCATCACGCTTTAATTGATAATCGTTCTGTTTTGTTCCAGTGTCGTTCGTAGTCTATATAAGGTATTCCCAAGTGAAAGAATGTTCGAGCACTTTTAGATTGCAAACCTCCCTACCGAAATGGAATCACTGGGCTTTAATTTTTGGCCTATTATCGACCTTTGGCCTATCGGTCGTAGCGAATTTTCAAGAGACCTCCGTTCTCGTCGTACACTTTATTGGCGCTCTGCTCTGCTTCGGTGGTGGTACCGCATATTTTTGGACACAGGTATGCGAGACAAATGTTACTTTTATAAATAAAAAGAAAAGAAAATTGCGATCGTGAAACGAGTATGTATCTTTAAAACATACGTACTTATTTAATTCCTCTAAAAATTCAATAAGTTTAAATTTCACGTAACTCTGGTTCCACGTAACTCGGCTTTCTAAAAACTTTCGATTTTCTTTTTTTTTAGAAATCTCTCACTTTCAAAAGAAAAAAAAAAAAAGAAAAGAATTCGCTCAAGTTCTTCGTGCTACGAAAGAAAGAGAGAGAGAGACACCAGGGAGTTAAAATTAGTCGATCGATTGCGAAATGAAATGTCGCGTAATTGTAACAAAAAACTATGATTTGCGTAATTTCCTGGAAATTTGGTTTATATCGTCCCTCGTTGCCCCCTCGTTGTTTCTTATTAACGTTGTTCTAATTGGACGCGCGCTTCATTTCCAGGCTGTGTGCACGTTCTACCTTCATCCGCTCGGATGTTCGTTGAGACTCGCTCACATACGAACGGCATTGTCAACCTTTTGCACCGTTTGTTTCGTCGTAACTCTGATCACCGGTGTGCTGGCACGCTTGGCTTACAAGGGTTGGTTCGTTGCGTTTCCTCTTTCCTTCCACCCTTCGCGTCCCCCCACTCGCGTCGTCTTCAATTCGTCTCGCATTTTGATGTTCGTTTCGTTTCGTTTCGCAGGCACGAATCCTCGAAAATGGTACAGGGAGGACGGCGGATGGGAGCTCCACGTGGCCAGCACGATCACGGAATGGCTGTGCGCTGGTGCATTCGCCGTGTACATTTTGACCTTCTCCGAGGAATTTCGCGATGTCAAAGTTATCCATCCGAAGGTATATGATCGACAAAGATGATCAGAACGAGTTATTAGATAATAAATTTAACGTAAATGATAAATGGAATGAAATATATCAAACTCGTATCGTATCCCGAAATAAAACTTATTTAATATATATTCAGTTGCGGATGATGGGTCGTGAATATTTCCTATCCTACAGCGGGTGACGCGTACGGTCCAAGAAATATAAAGGGTGAAAAAGAGTCAATCAAGTAACCAACTTTTTTTCATTTGCATACGCGTTCAATTAATCGCGATTAACAAATTAAAATCCATCCGTCATTCCAAGACTCTTATC